ACATCTCTTAGTAAATCTACAGCAACCTGAGCTGAAAAAAAACAAGAACCAAAGCGAAACCGAACTAATAACAAATAAAAACTTAACAAAATCGACCACATCAGCACACTCAAACTTCACCATGAACGCGACGAAAACCACCAACAAAAACAACACAAAAAACGCGACTACATCGCTGGCAATGAGTTCCAGTATCAGTAAAATCACCGACAACAAAACATTCGCTAACTTAATTGCAACAGAGAACACCAGCTCAATGAACATATCCAAAATAAGTAATTTCTTATTCGCCATGATGAAACCAATTGATTGAGTGATTTTCGCATTGTTATTTACCTTAACACTACAACTACTACCATTACAACTACTGCTGCTACTACTACTGCTGCTGCTACTACTACTGCTGCTACTGCTGCTGCTGCTGCTCCTACTTCTACTACTACTACTACTACAACTACTACCATTACAACTACTACCATTACAACTACTGCTGCTACTACTACTGCTGCTGCTACTACTACATCTGCTGCTACTGCTGCTGCTGCTGCTCCTACTTCTACTACTACTACTACTACTACTAAACTTTTTAAAATTCTTAGCCATCAAAAAAGAATTGAAGTATGGCAACTCGACCGCCATTGCAAACTTGACAACGACAGTATTTCTTATGAATCGCGTTTCGATGAATTGACAATCACTACTACAATTACTACTTCTACTACTATTACTGCTACTACCGTTACTACTACTACCGCTACCACTACTAATACTGGTAGTACTACTTTGAGAAATTTTTTTATTTTCAGCCATCAGAAAAGAAGCCAAGTATAGTATCGGGGTGGAAGTTAGATTGTTCGGGGCTGTGATAGCCGGTCAAACATCGATAATGTGGCTGTACATCAAGCTAGGAGCAAGCTATGACATTTATAAAATTATTTTGGTCACTGGATCAAACTTTCAAAGTGAGAATTTGATAGAACTATGAGTAATTTGTTAGCATTTAGTGGTATTTAGTATTTAGTTAGTACTTAATTGTCTGTCTTACGGTGTCTCGGTTGCAAATAGAATGCAGATCCCCAAAAAACTACAAGCGTTTGTCGTTGGTACCTACCACTAAAACAAATGAACCAAAAAAAAGCCTTTAACTTTTTATTTAGTTCTTATAATGATATCATTTTCAAATAATGTCATTTTCAGCAGTTAACGACTTACAAGGAGTTTCGGTTTCCATAACCAACACTGCAATCAATAGTAATGACAAACCAGACCAGATAACTTCAACGAAATGCTTTGAGGTACCTAACAGCCCAATTTCAGCAAAATCTAAAATTGAATTAGTTTGCTCTCCTAAAGAAATTAATGGCCAGTATATTATCATTTATAAAAAATCCGGATACATAAAACTGGGAGCAATATCCAGTTTTGAAATCACCATTCTTGTTAACTCGGCTTATTACGCAAGTAATCAAGTTCAAATTGTTTTATTTAATAACAAATTTGTTAAATAAATAGATGAAGTTTAAAAAATAAAAAATATTTGATAAAAAATCCTTCTATGCTTAACTTTTCTAGTCTCGGTCGAAGTTCCAAGCCAGCTATCAGCAGCAACAACCAACAAGACTCGTGTGAATGTTACAACTACTGCCAACATTACATCCAATATAAGTACGAATACCATAATTACTACTAATTATACTAATATTACTTACTAATACATTTTAAATTTTTGATTGCAGCCATCAAGAGAGATTCAAAGTATAGCATCGGTGTTGAAGTTAAATTGTTTGGGATTGAGATAGCTGGCCAGAAAGCGATAAAGTGGTTCTACGTCAAACTAGGAGCCAGCTACAGCATTTATAAAGTTATTTTGCTCACTGGAACCGATTCGCAATGTAAGTAATTGGTAGAACAATGAGTCATAAATTCTTAAATTATTAAAATAATTTATAGCGGTTAACGACTTGCAAGGAGTTACAGTTTTCATAACCAACACCACAATTACCGATAATAATAATGACAAACCAGACCAGATAACTTCAACGAAATGCTCTGAGGTTCCTAACAAGCAAATTTCAGCAAAATCTAAAATCGAATTAGTATGTTCCCCTAAAGAAATCAATGGCCAGTATATTATCATTTATAAAAAATCCGGTTACATAAAACTGGGAGCAATATCCTATTTTGAAATAACCATTTTTGTTAACTCGGCTTATTACGCAAGTAATCAAGTTCAAATTGTTTTATTTAATAACAAATTTGTTAAATAAATAGATGAAGTTTAAAAAATAAAAAATATTTGATAAAAAATCCTTCAATGCTTAACTTTTCTAGTTTCGTCCGAAGTTCCAAGCCAGCTAACAGCAGCAGCAACCAACAAGACTCGTGTGAATGTTACAACTACTGCCAACATTACATCCAATATAAGTGCGAATATTATTATTATTACTATTATACTACTATTACTTACTAATACATTTTAAATTTTTCATTTCAGCCATCAAGAGAGACTCAAAGTATAGCATCGGTGTTGAAGTTAAATTGTTTGGGATTGAGATAGCTGGCCAGAAAGCGATAACCTGGTTTTACGTCAAACTAGGAGCCAGCTACAGTATTTATAAAATTATTTTGCTCACTGGAACCGATTCGCAATGTAAGAAATTAGAAGAAATTGGTAGAACAATGAGTCATAAATTCTTAAATTTTTAAAATAATTTATAGCGGTTAACGACTTACAAGGAGTTACAGTTTTCATAACCAACACCACAATTACCGATAACAATAATGACAAACCAGACCAGATAACTTCAACGAAATGCTCAGAGGTACCTAACAAGCAAATTTCAGCAAAATCTAAAATCGAATTAGCATGTTCCCCTAAAGAAATCAATGGCCAGTATATTATCATTTATAAAAAATTCGGCTACATAAAACTGGGAGCCATATCCAGTTTTGAAATAACCATTCTCGTTAACTCTGCTTACTACGCAAGTAATAGAATTTAGTTTATTCTTTCAAATAATATATTTATAAATCAAGTTTAAACAAATTTAGGAAATTATCGAATAATTAGAATAACATAAATTTAACAGTAACAGTTGAAATTCCGAGCCAGCTGACTCGAACCAATTCATCGCGAAATATATCAATTAATGTCTCAAAGACTGAAGAAAGTCCTCAGTGGCTCACCTTTTATATTGTGGTTGTTGAGTGGGTTAAGGAGGTGGAAGCTGGTTACTGGGTCTTTGATCTTAGCAAAGAACTTGATGTCGTTGGAGTTATTGTCAAAATCGGAACAGGTTAAACTGGCTTTATCAAATTTGTTGAAAAAATCAAATCAGGTCATGTATGGCAAAGAAAAAATGCAGACCCAATGATAAAATTTTTATTTTCAGAGTGTTCTGACTTCGGTAAATTTTCAATTTATGTTGAGAATCAAGTTGACGTTTCCAGTTTTTCAAAAGTTTGTGCCAAGTATGATAAAACTGATTTGACCAGTGGTGCATTGAAAACAATTACTTGCGATTCTGCAACTGTGAGGGGAAGGTATGTAGTTATTCAGAAGTTATCTGGCTCCATCAAAAAAACCTGCCTTGCTAAAATATCAATAATTTTTAAGGAGGGTGGCCAAATTATTGAGGGTACAATGTTTTTATTATACAAATTCGAATATTTTTTACGATTTCAGTTTAAAAAATTTTTTCTTCAGCTTCTCAAAGCGTAGGCAACGAACAAACTTCAAAGAACGCTGTGCCGAAGAGTGAATCAACGATCGACTGGTACATTGAATATTATGAATTCCACTACAATCTTGATTATAAAGGCTGGTGGAGGTTTGATCTGGCCATAAGTTACACTGTCATCTCTGTGGCTGTCACTACTGGTACTGATAACTCCGGTGAGGATATTAAACTTATGGAACTAATGTTCCCAAACAATATTTCAGAACATTTCAAAAAACTCCGCTTTTATTTCCACACAGCACTGCAAGCATTTCAAAATTTTGTCATCCTTGTCAGTCAAGACTCACAACAAAATGGTAAATTTTGCGGATTTTATAAAGGGAAAAACAAGTTAGCAAGTTCAAAGAGATATTTATTCAGTTGTTACAAAGTGTCTGGACGCTACGTTGTCATCGTAAGTCAAAATAACAACGTGGAATACAATTTGAGAGCCCTCAGCTGCGTCGATATAATTGTTTCATCTGGTTTTCAGTCTTTCAAGTGTTAGTCAAACCGTAATTTTTCCAATTGAGTGATGAATTTTTGTAGATTTGAACGAAAATTAAATCATTAGATGAGGTAAAAGTCAGCAAAGTGACGATCGTCCCCCCGAGCACGCGTACCAACAAATGGACGTATGGCTTTGTGAGGATTGACGTGACGGCTCCTGAGATAACTTTCATGGGATTTGATTTGGGAAGAAGTTGCTCCGTGTTTCAAGTTGAGATCCTGCTGAAAAGTTTGTTATAATAATAATTTATGCAGTTCATTAACGTTCTATTATTCATGATTTAAATTTGGAATGATTTCAACAGTTTCAATATCGATAACGAAGCTCGGTTTATTCGTCAGTGAGAGTCAAGAATTCAAAGATTTCAAAAGAACTTGTTTCTTTTTTGGCAAGTCTACGGCCACGACTGTCAACTCGAGAACGAAGATGAAGTTTCAATGTTCTGTACCTGGAGAGAGCAAATATCGGTACTTCTACATGATGTGGACCATCAGTGAGAAGGCCGTTGAATGGTTTGAGAGTATAACGCTGCTGCTCGAGTACCAGGGCTCCTATTACATCGGTGCAGTTGTATTTTTCTGATGTTTCAGATACATAATTAAATTTCATTTGAATTCAAAATTTGGCAGCCCTTTGGAGTTTCGTTGGAGGAGGAGGAGTAGGAATTGCTGGCTGGGAGGAAAACTTGACAGGCTGGGATAAACTTTTGTCAATTTTTATTTGTTTTGCAACTCCAGAAATTTTAAGCAGTAGTTGATTGCGTGTTAAAACAAGTGCTAAAATGATTCAAAAATTAAAAAAAATAACTATTTTTTTCTCAAAATCTCAGTTAACGTTTCAAGAAGCGAAGAGAATCCACAGTGGCTCATATACTACATAGTTGTCATAGAGTGGGTTAACGAGGTGGAGGCTGGTTACTGGGTGTTTGACCTCGGTAAGGAGCTTGAGGTCATTGGGGTCAACATTAAAATTGGACCAGGTAACAATATAACTTAGTTTTTATCTCCTATTTTAATTTCAACTCAAAATTTGATTCTAAAAAAGTTAATCTCCCTCTCTCTTTCAGGCTGCAGAGACATGAACAGCTTCCTAGTGTACGTTGAGAAGAAAATTGACAGTAACACACAATTTACCAAAATTTGTAGCAAATACGGCAAAATCGATTGGATCGGCGGTTCGTCTAAGGTTATAACTTGCGATTCGGAGACAAACTTGAGAGGAAGGTACGTTATTATTCAGAGATCAACTGGCTCTATAAGAAGAACATGCATTTTAAAATTCTGCGTCCTCTATAGAGATAACAACCTCGTTGTAAACGGTTTGTGAACAGTCCCTGTTTTAAATTTGTATAACTCCAACACATACTTTTCTACTTTTTTCTCTATCTCGGTTTTATAATTCTCAGGCTCTCTAGAAATACCTGCGGCTAAACCTTTGCCAGACACACGCACAGATCCAACGATAACGATCGATTGGTTTATAAAATATTTCGAGTTTCATTACGAACTCGACTACAAGGGTTGGTGGATATTTGACGTTGCCAGGATCCAGACCGTATGTGCTGTTGTCTTTCTTACTGGCTCAGATTCTAATGGTTAGAAAATTTTTTAGTTTGGAAAATTTGTTTTTGTTCAGTTTTGTAGTAGATTAACATAACATTGTACTAGATTGTATTAACGTAACAACTAAAAAATTTGTTGTCGTCATCCAACTTGATATTATCTTTTACAAAATTACAATCCTAATTCTCACGAAGACTTGAAACTAACCATTTAGAATATAATTTCAAATTTTTATCCATCGCAGCCATGCAAACTTTGGTTAATTTCGTGATACTGGTCAGTGATACGAAGGAGATCATCTCGAGGCAACCCTTAGCATTCGTAAGTCCCTCAAAACCCCAACAATGCTCGTCCTACAGAGGATCTAGTCTCCTGACAACTTCAAAAAGGTACTCCTTTGCATGTCTGAAAACATCGGGCAGATACGTATCCATAGTGCAACAAAACTTCAACGTGGAATTCAACTTGAGATCGTTGAGTAGCGTCGAAATTGTGACCTGCTCTGGATCCAGCAGTTTCAAATGTTGGTTGACGCATCTCTTGAAATAATTCTAAAAGTCCTGATTTTGAAGTGACTGGATTCGTGTGTATAGAAATCCTAGTCTCTCAAATGCAATATGTGTAAAGTGTGTTTGTTGTTGTTGTTGTTGTTGTTGTTGTTATTGTTATTGTTGTAGATACCTTTAGAACATAATCAAGACAGAATTGATGATAAAATAAAAATGTGGCGAAATTTCATCAAAAATTATGCGGTATCAACATTTATCCAGATATCATACAAGTTTCAAAGATATATACAGCGTCAATGACTATCACGACGGTATCCACAAAATGGATATACACTTTCACGAGGCTGGATTTCAACGTTCCTGAATATACAGTCTTTGGATATGACTTTGGCAGAGCCTGCTATATTCATCTGGTCGTCATCACTTTAAATGGTTCTACTTTGTTCCCTTTTTAATGTATTTTTGAAATATTTCTTCTCTATCTCTATATCTCTATCTCTATCTTCTCTTCTCTATATCATCTAATATTTAAATTAATATTAATATTTAATTTAAATAAATAAATGAATATCTAATGTCTGAAACGTGCTTCATGTATTTTTTTGATAGTTCAATTCGTTATTCGAATGTTACAGGTAGTTTTGAAACAATAGAAGATTTTTTCGCTGTGTTGAAAATCACATTTGATGCTCAATTTTTTTTATTTTTTAAATATGACGCTGTTATTCATTCATTCATTCATTTGTTCGTTCGTTCGTTCATTCAGTCATTCATTCATTCATTCATTCATTCAATCAATCATTCACTCACTGACTAAGTATCGATATCGATAATGAAATTCCAAATCTTTGTGAGTGACAAGAGCGTCATGGAAACGAACATGCGGACCTGCTACGATTTTACCGATACGAAACCAAAAAAAGTTAACGCCGGCACTACGATGAAATTTTTGTGCTCCAGCGTCGAATACAGTTATAGGTATGACCTTTAACTTTGACAGTTATAGTTATGACCTTTAACCTTAAACTTTGACAGTTATAGGTATGACCTTTAACTTTTAATCTTTAACTTTGGCAGTTATAGGTATGAACTTTAACATTTAATCTTTAACTTTGACAGTTATATGATGAGAATTTTGCTTTATTTTGAAAAACGTCGGCAGTAGTAGTAGCAGTTGTAGCAGTAGTTGTAGTAGAAGTAGTAGCAGTGGTAGTCGTCGTAGTAGTAGTAGTCGTCGTAGTATTCATTTATATAGCGTGCATCACACATAAGCTTGCTAGTAACAAGAGAGAGAGAGAGAGACAGAGAGAGAGACAGAGAGAGAGAGAGAGAGAGAGAGGGATCACTTTGCATACGAATCCGGTTGCTGCAACACGTGACGACGATGATGATGGTGGTGAAAATTATATTATTCCATAATTATAGCCATAATTATCATATTTTATTGTAGGTAAATGGAAATTATATTATTCCATAATTATAGCCATAATTATTATAATTTATTATAGGTAGGTGAAAATTGTATTATTCCATAGTTATTGTCATAATTATTATATTTTATTATAGGTAGGTGGAAATTATATTATTCCATAATTATTGCCATAATTATCATATTTTATTATAGGTACATTTTCATAACTTACTCGCTCAGTGTCTCAGTTCAATGGCTTTTCAACATGGAAATCACGGTGGAATACCAGAATATATTTTACATTAGTAAGATCACCTAATTATTATTTTATTATTATATTATATTTATTATTATTATTGTTTTGTTGTTATTATTATTATTATTGTTTTGTTGTTATTATTGTTTTATTATTATTATTATTATTTTAAACTCTTTCCCATTAAGTCACTTGGGGATATGACATCCATGGCTATGAGACCGGAACAACGGTATCGAAACCGAAACCGACTAAACCGAGTACTGGAAAAATACCGGCGGTACCGAAGTGCACGAATCCGACGACGACAACAGCTCAAACAACAACGCCAAGGTATAAAACATCTAGAGAAACAACAACACAAAAATTTACAAAGCCGACAACAAATCAACAGTTTGTTGTAACATCAACAACAACAAAATTTACAAAGCCGTCAACAAATCAACAGTTTGTTGTAACATCAACAACAACAAAATTTACAAAGCCGACAACAACATCACAGTTTAAAGAGTTAACAACAACAACAAAATTTACAAAGCCGACAACAACATCAAAAATATCATCATCGGCGTCAACAACAACAACACCAAAATCATTTAAAAAAATAACTACTACTACTACAACGACTACAACTACTACTACAACCCCAGAAATAACAACAGTTACTACAACAACCACTACTACAACTACTACTACTACCCCAGAAACAACAACAGATACAACAACAACAACTACTACTACTTCTACAACAACTACAACAACTACTACTACTACAACTACAGCAACAACTACTACTACTACAACTACAGCAACCCCAAAAATAACAACAGTTACTACAACAACTACTACTACAGCTTCTACTACAACAACTACAACCACTACTACCACTACAACAACAACTACAACTACAACAACAACTACTACTACTACAACTAGAACAACCCCAGAAATAACAACAGTTACTACAACAACCACTACTACTACTAAAACGAGAACAACCCTAGAAATAATAACAGTTACTACAACTACTACCACTACTACAACTACTACCACTACTACTACTACTACTACTATTACTACTACTACTACTAATACTACTACTACTACTACTATTACTA